AGGAAGGGGGGCTAGTGGTCCCTGCTTTCTTCCCTTTCTTGGGAGGTTTCTTCCTCAGCAAGTATCCACTAGTACGATCAAGCTGTGCTCAGACCAAGCAAAGGACAACATCCGACCCCATCACGTTAATTCTTGGTTCAGTGGGTTAGTTCTCAGAACTGTAAGCGGGACAGACTCCTGGGATTCTTGGTAAATGACACTGAACAGCAGGAAGTAGGGCCTGCTCCACCATTCAGAGCGAAGTGGCACTGGGGCCTCAGTGATGGGCGTGCTACAATGCGTCGTGTGCTCTGTGACCGGCACCCTTCTGGGTTGTGCTGACCGAGACATTCCTGCTGGAACCCCAGCGCCGGTGTGCCTCAGTGGCAGGTTTAGGAGCTGGGTTAGATGAGGGGTCCCGGGGGAGGTGGGAGGAGAAGCGTCAGTTCCTCTGGGAGTTGGCAGGTGCTGAGGCAGCCTGCTCTCAGGCTATAATCTCTCGCTGCTGATTTATGAAGAACAGCATATTCCTGATAACCCCGCGCTTCACCGAATATACGAATCCTCCCTGTGCCCGTGGCGTGTGTGTGTTCTGCGTGCTTGACCTCACAGTGTTGGTGGGGCCCATCATCTGCCCTGAAAGAGAGGCCTGACTGTTCAGGCTCAGCGGTGAAACATCACACCAGCTTCCCTCGGGCTGCGGCTGAGGTGTTTGATGAGCCTGCAGATGGAGTAGGGGCTGGTCCCAGCCAGGGGCTGCCAATTCCTGCTCCGTGGGCTGAGGTTTAGCATGAAGGGATCTCCCACCTTGGTTTTGCTTGGGGAGGCTTTATTGCCTGCAAGCAGGATGACCATCCTTTCCTTAAAGTCTGGAGCCAGCAGAGTGAGGGAAGAGCCAGGAAGCAAATACAAGGCAGGGCTGGGGTGACCTAGGGCCTACTCTTTCCTTGCAGGAAAGCAGAGAAGCCTCCCAGTTGGGGGTGGGGTGCTGGGGGGGGGGGGCGAGGATCTCTGCGCTCCCCCCAGGACACCCACGGGGATCTTCACGCACCTGCCATGTCTCCTGGCAAAATAAATCAGCTCTATGCACAGGCCAGGTGCAGGCTGCCTCGTGGGGCTTCAAAAGCCTGGGGCTATGTACCCAGGAAGCAATGCTTCGCGATATTCGCCAAAAGGCTACTAGGTTCCCAGCATATCGTGTAGCCCCAAGCGGAAAACTCAATAGCGCCCATCAAAAGACTGAGCGGATAAAACAGCCTTCGATTCACCGTTGTGGCGCGCCACAGCTTAGCGGAATGAATGACCTGTAACTACCGGTGCAACGACATGGCATCTCCAGAGGCAAAATTTTTGAGTAGAAAAAAAAAGAAAAACTAGATACAAATGTGAATGTTGTGCTTCTAATCACGCCAGTCCCCCAAGACAAACCCCGTATACTTACCTTCCTCTCACCTACTAATTGACATTAGGAGTGTCGAGGAGCCAGTAACAACTTATTAATTGGTTCTTCCCTCCTTTAAATTGATTTTTTTAGGCGCCGTTGAAGCAGTGAGTTAAAGCGATCCGACTTCAGCCATGGCAGGTCGCATTCATCTCATGGTGGAGTCGGGGAGTTCAGGCCACGTCAGGCTCTGGGCTGATGGCTGCTCCAGAGCCTGGAGCCTCTCATTCTGTGTCTCCCTCTCCCTCTCTGCCCCTCCCCGTTCGCTCTGTCTCTCTCTGTAAAAATAAATAGCGGGTGAAAAAAAATTAAAAAAATAAAATAAATAAAATGATTTTTTAAAACAATTGCGACTGAAGCCTGAGCTGCTCAGCTAGTTGAACTTCTGACTCTTGATTTGGCTCAGGTCTTGATCCCTGAATTACTAGGTATGATAGAGCCGTGCATAGGGCTCTGCACTGAGCATGAGTCTGCTTGAATTCTCTCTCTCTCTCTCTCTCTCTCTACTCTAGCTCTCTCTCTTGCTCCTGACCCTCTCTCCCTCTGGAAAAAAAAAAAATTACATATAAAAAAATAAAATAAAATCAAAAAAAAAAAAAGACCGAGTGCATTTAGTGAATGTAGATGCTCTCAGGTAGGAATTCGGGTCAGGTGAGAGCCAGAAGCTCCTCATTTGCCTTTTTATTTTTAAGCTTATCTATTTGAGGAGGACTGAGAGGCAGAAAGGAGAGGAAGAATCTAATGTCCACCGTGGGAGCCTGCTGTGAGACTCAAACTCATGGAACCCGTGAGGAACACATGACCTGAGCCAAAACCAGAGTGTTTGTAACTGACTGAGCCGCAAGGGTGTCCCCCACACTCACTTCTTGGCACAATAAAGACATGTAATTTGACTGAATGTACATGCAGAGAAGAGCACATCGATGTTCTGCTTGATGGTGCTGAGAGCACCAGTGGATAAATCACAGACTCCCCACTAGATGAAGAAACAAGGAGACATGATGAGCACCCAGGAGCCTCAACCCAGGCTCCCTCTCCCCCTGCTCAGCCCCATGAGGATCACATCTTCAATGGCTCCCAGCCTAGTCATGCCTGCTTGGGGACATTCTGTGAATGGTTTTAGGTACCCCGCTGGGATCCTGGAGGTTATGGTGATGAACACTTTGCAGAAAACTTGGCATGAGCTGGCTTCCCAGAGCCCATAGGTTTTTTTTTTTTTTTTTTTTTTTTGGGCAGTGTCAGGCCTTTCGTGCCGAGGTTTATCCCTGCCGCCGAATGCCCCATTTTCTTATCCTGCCTGCATCAGTCATTCCCATCTGGGATCAACATTGGAGGGAGGACGTGCCTAAAAACAGTCTGTTCTCCAGCATGAAAAATACCATTACAAACCATTACTTGCAGAATTTTCCAGCACACTTTAGTAGTTTCTTCTAAGAGCTTCAATTATATGAACATGTATTCTTTCTTTCTTGAAAGTGAGGAGTTTATTTTCCATTTTGTAGACAGTAATAACCAAGGTCTAAAGTGACGATAAACGTCTGAACACAAGCTGGTCACAGCAATAGCGGTGCTGGGTTCCAAGCCTTTCCCACTAAGCCATCTCTTCATATAAAACCACAGGAGAAAAGTGGCCAGTGTTGGCTTCAGAGATAAGACCTACAAACGCATGATGTTGTCATTCTGGCTACTCTCCTCCTCACCCCATAACCCGATAGAAACCTGTAGATCTGTCTCCAAACCTATGTGGATCAGGCGCTTCCTCCACATATCCGGCTGCTTTCTTTCTTTCTTTCTTTCTTTCTTTCTTTCCTTCTTTCTGTGGGAGAGGGCAGAGAGAATCCCAAGCAGTCTCTACCCTGTCAACACAGAGCCTGATGCGGGGCTCAAACTCACGAACTGTGAGATCATGACCTGCGCTGAAACCGAGTCAGATGCTTAGCTGACTGAGCCACCCAGGCGCCCTGAGAAGTGAGACTCTTGACTCTGATCCCAAGCCCAGCCCCCAAGGCCAGCCTTTTTTCACCCTCCGCAGATAGCAGGACAGTTTGCCCCTGAGCCTGACCAGTGACCACAGCACAGCCCCTCCCCCCTGCCGCCACGTGTCCCACAGGAGCAGAGGAGAGAGGATCTCAGTGAGCACCACAGGGGCCCAAAGAAGCGTGGTGCCAGTGCCGGACCCACAGAGAGTCGGCGTGGAAGCCAAGCCCAGGAGACCTGTGTCCCTGTTGGATTCTATTTGGCACCTCCCCGCCCCATTTCCGAGGTTGCCTCTCAGTAAAATGCGATGTATCTGTCTCCAAGCCAGAAAGGAATGGAGACCCAAAGGTACTGAGCACCTCACATGTGCTGGGAACTGTACAGGCATGAGGTCATTGGGCCACACGGCAGTCGGCCATCCTTCGTAGGAGATGTTACCATCCCCACGCAAGCCCGTCTGTGGTATTCATAAGGCTCTGAGACCTACAAAGTCAAATGATTTGCACAAAGTTATACGGCTGAGTGGCAGAGCATGGGTGGTCCTAATGTCCAGCCAGCATGCTCTCTGCTTACTGTAGCGCCATAAAGATCCAGTGTCCCTGGGGACCAGGAGCAGCACCAAGGGGTGGACGGTCTGTATCAGCCCTTTCTCCTTGCGTCCTGCACCTGCACCTATGCCCTAACCTTGCCTTTCCTCCACCTGGCACAGGTCTCACCTGGATCTCTGACACCAAAGGGCATCGTTGGGCCTAGGCGAGGGGGTCCTGCGTGTGTGGGTGCTCAGTTCTAGACGGTTGCCTCCATGTGTCTTCTTGGTCTTTCAGGAATTTAGCCATTGGAATCGGGATCCAGAATTTCCCGGAGGGCCTCGCTGTCAGCCTCCCCCTGCGAGGGGCTGGCTTCTCCCCCTGGAGAGCCTTCTGGTAAGTGCTCCGAGAGTGTCAGCTGTCAGAGGCCAGGGTCGTGTCTGACGTAAAGTCAGAGCAGTCCTCTGTATGGGCTTCCTTCTTCAAGAACCATCTCTTCTGTCCCGGAAGTGTCTCTGGAGCTTCTGGTCAAACGCCAACAGTCTGTTTGAGTCCTGAGCCCTCAAGGGTGGGAGGAAGCTCAAGAAACTCATCTCTTGACCTTCAGCCTTTACATAAACCAGCTCAAATCGCCAGGTTTCCTATTTCAAAATGTTTCCATTGTAGCCACGCCATGCCCATTCGGTGTTAGGGCTCTTTCCCCTCCAGTAGGAAGTAAACCAATGTCTACCCTAAATATCACATGCCTTTGCTGAGGCCCATCTGACCACAGCCCGTCTCCAAGAGTCACACACTAGCCCCTGTCACAATCCTTGTCACTATGAAGGCCAGGATCGTGTCCATAGGAGATGATGCCCTACTGTACTCAGACTTTGTGTTTTCATGGGCTCCAGAGGCCTTTCTAGTCTCTTCCTTAATTTTACCTTCTCAGTGACACATAAGGTGAGTCCTCAGTTTTCAGAGGAGAGAACTGTGGCCTTGAATGTCAGGTGACTGGTTTCAGTGGTGGTGACTCCAAGACCAGAAGTTTAATCTTCTGTCCCTCAACTCAGGACTCTGAGCCTCAGAATACTTCTCTGTTCAAGCAATCACTGCTCTAGAATGTATGGTGAGGGCATTTAAAAAGACTGCTAATAACAACAATTTAAAAATGCCTTCCATTTTATGGGGCCTTATGACTTACAAGTTCTTACACATACTTAAATTATCTTATTTCCCCCCTCCTGTCTCTTTCTCCATTGCCGGAGTCTACGGAATAGAGGCCTAGGTGCGGGCAGGGCATCATGGCCTTAGAGATTTGATTCAAATGTGAGTTCTGGGAGCCCAGTAGCTGTGACTGCTTTTTTTCATATGGGAGGGGCACCCCGGACAGGAGGTGAGGGACCCTGAGCTTAAACTTTTTTTCTTCTTGCTCCAGTCTGGGCCTGACGTCCAACTCACTTTTTCCCCAAGTGACAAAGCCAAGCCAGGAATTGTACCCGCAGCACAGAGCTACAAAGTCGGCCGACCCGTGCACAGGGCACAGGTCAGGCAGCGGTGGCCCCTTACAGGGTTCTGCAGCACAGACAATGTTTCCCCCATGCCCACTGCCTGCCCCTGGCCAGGGAGAAGCAGAGAAGCGGGGGGCAGGGCGGGGGTGGAGTTCACAGCCCTGTCCTGTCACTGGGGAGGCACGCTGGGCGGGGAAGTGCCCCAGTGCACCTCTGGGTTTCTTGCCCCCATTTTACAGATGGAGAGATTGAGGCTCACAGGCAGTATATCTTGCCAAATGCCCACAGCAAGGGGTAGTGGGAAAGATATCCCAGCTCCCTTGTCTAGTGGTGTCCAACCCATATCAGGTGACTTTTGCAGGTGGTGACTTTTGCTCCGCTATGGGGAGCAGGTGCCAGCTCATCTGCTCTCTGCATTCTCAGCACTCACCTGGGCTACTGTTTTACTCAGGGCTCATATGATTTCAAGCAACAGAGACCCACTCTCACTAGCTCAAATAAAGGGAATTATTTATATTTTTTATTGTGAAAGAGAGTGTGCGTGTGCACAAGTGGAGGAGGGGCAAAGAGAGAGGGAGAGGGAGAGAATTTCAGGCAGAACCCACCACGGGGCTCGATCCCATGAACCATAAGGTCATGACCTGAGCTGAAATGAAGAGTTGGACGCTTAACCGACTGAGCCACCCAGGTGCCCCAGGGACTTAAAAAAAAAATTTTTTTTTTTAATGTTTATTTATTTTTGAGAGAGTCAGAGACAAAGACAGAGTGCGAGCAGGGCAGGGGCAGAGAGAGAGAGGAAGACACAGAATCGGAACCAGGCTCCAGGCTCTGAGCTGTCAGCACAGAGCCTGATGCGGGGCTTGAACTCACGGACCGTGAGATCATGACCTGAGCTGAAGTTGGACGCTTAATCCACTGAGCTGCCCAGGCCCGCCCCCCCGCCGCCAACCGAGGGATTTTTTTTTTTTTAAAGAAGAAATCTCAGCTTAATTCAGGATGGGGGTAGTGGGGAGAGGCCATCAGTATACATCTAGCCAGGTAGGTCCACATCTTCAGTAGAGACGCATGGGTGCAGCTCCTTCAGAAGGGGGTACAGTTGTGACCCAAACGCACCAGGCACAACTATGCTAGGGAAGTGTCTATACCACTCCTAATCAGTGTCCTCTCGGTCAAGAGACAAGGTAGACATCAGCTGACCAATGGTTAGCAAGCACGTGGTGGATCTGTCCAATGGGTTATTGCTCAGTCATAAAAGAAAGGAATGATACGTGTTATGACATGGATGCACCTTGAAAACATTATGTGAGATGAAATAAGCTAGTAAAAAGGACCACATATTGCTTGAGTCCGTTTATACGAAATATCCAGAATAGGCAAATCCATCGAGACAAAAAGCAGATCAGTGGTTGCCAGGAGCTGGGGGAGGGAGGGGTGGGGAGTGGCCGCTGATGGGTGTGGGGTTTCCTTTTGTGGTGATGAGAATGTTCTGGAACTAGATAGGGGTGATGGTTGCACAACCTTGTGACGATACTAAAACCACTGGACTGAACACATTAAATGGGTGTGCCATATGGTATGTGAATTATATCTCAATAATGCTATTATGGAAGACAGACAGTGTGGAAACCTTAAAACTCTACCGGAAACCCGGGGAGGGGGGAGCCTACTGTGTTAGAGGAGGTCAGGGAAGAAGGAGGTGGCTAAAAACACAGTGATTTGCACTGCTGTGCGCGGATATGACGTGGAATGAAATGCATCCATTTTCTGGGGCTGAGTCAGCAGTCTGAGCACAGAGTGCCTGAGCGTGCTGGTATCTGCTTGACTTTCCTCATAGTGGCACTTGTCTCTGGTCTCTCCTCAGGTACGGGCAGCTAAGCGGCATGGTGGAGCCCCTGGCAGGGGTCTTTGGTGCCTTTGCCGTGGTGCTGGCTGAGCCCCTCCTGCCCTACGCCCTGGCCTTTGCTGCTGGCGCCATGGTCTATGTGGTCATGGACGACATCATCCCCGAGGCTCAGATCAGGTTGAAGAGCATCCCCTCCCCCATTCGTGCTCATCTGTTTCCCAAGCCCGGGCCCTGCATACAGATCTTGCCTTTCCTCACTTGCTGCTCCTTTCTTTGCTCCCACCCCTTTCTGCCGCTTCCCGAGATCGTCCCCACTCCCTTCTCAACTGTGTTTTCTGAAACTAGAGAGAGGAGTAAGGGGCAGGTGGGAGGGGATGGCCCAGGTGACACCAGGTAATGGCATACAGACACTCTACCTCCCCACCCCCATGACACAGACGATTAGCTTTTGCATATTGTCCCTTTCTCTCCCCACCCTTCTCTTTCTCGATTTTTCTAGGGCTAGAATCTCGGGAGAGGTGAGCTCTGAGAGCCAAAGCTATCCATCCATGTTCTTATTATGTAGCCATAGGCCAGGTGTCCGGGAAGGGGGAGGGGGGGTGCTTCCTTTCTTTGTTTGATTTATTGATTTATTGATTGATTGATTGATTGATTGATTTTACATATTTATTTCGAGAGAGAGAGAGAAAGAGAGAGAGAGAATCCCAAGCAAGCTCAGTGCCACCAGCACAGAGCCTGACGCAGGGCTCAGTCTCACGAACCGTGAGATCGTGACCTGAGCTGAAATTAAGAGTCGGATGCTTAACCGACTGAGCCACCCAGGCACCCCTGTTTCATTTGGTTTTTGTAGCTAGTTTAAAGGTCAGATTCAATAATATCATCAAGAATTTAATTGCCACTCTTTATCATTTGAGCATTTATTCCAGAGCCATAAGAGGTGTCTTTGGGCAAGTTACTTCTGTATGCCTCAGTTTCCCCACCAGTAACAAGAGAATAACGGTAGTACTACTGATCTTGTGTGGTCATCCTTTGGGATTACATGAATTACTTTGCCTGGCGTATAGTAAGCCCCAGTAAATGTTACGTGTCAATATTATTATCCTTACTAATCGTAGTGGTACATTTTTATTGGAATTGGACATCACAGAGGATGCTTGCAGCTTGGACAGTGTCCCAGAGTACATTAAGGTCTTCCTTTCCTTCCCTCCCAGTGGTAACGGGAAACTGGCATCCTGGACCTCCATCCTGGGATTTGTGGTGATGATGTCACTCGATGTCGGCCTGGGCTAGTGCTGAGATGCCTCAGAGTCCAGGAAAAGCAGCACAAGGAAACTGCAGTGGCTGGCTTCTACGGGACCACACGCCTCTTCCTTTACATTAAAACATTTTTCCTTCCTCTCCTTTTCATCTCATTATCCTGATTGACTCTGATCATAACATGACAATTTTTACTTTTCTCTTGAGGGAGATAATAGTTTTATTTAGAATGTCAAGGTGTCACGGAACAACAGATTTTTGTTTCTGGCCACTGAATAGAATCTTTCTTCGGCAGGATTACCAAGGACACACAGATCAGGGAAATCTCTGCTTTCACACCCTCAGTCTCTCTCACTGGACTCTGTGGCAGCTTGTTAAGTTCACCTGGAGGAGCAAGCTGCTAAGAGAGAAGCTTCCAAGCATTTTTTGCCTCGTGACTCAGAGCAGAATGGTCAGGACCTCTCTCGTCCATCCCTCCTGACCTCTCACCATTGATCATCTACCCGTTAGACCAGAACTGGAACATCATGGACAGAGCAACCAACTTTCCAAGGTTCGGCCAGCCTAAGGAGGAATACGACTTCCTCCTGTGTCCCCCCCGAGGGACATGCTGGATGGGAAGGGACACAGACAAAGGGAAGAAAATCAGTTTATCTTTTTCTTTCTTTCTTTCTTTTCTCCTTTTTCAAGGCAAAGATTGACACTATTGAAGTTAAGGGAATTAGGGAATTCCGAGAGCCACGAACACAGTGAACCCTGTAAAGGCAGAGAGCAGCTTTGCTCAGAGACCTCTGCTTTCTATGGATTCCAAGAGCAAAGTGGTTTGTCATGGTTTCCAGATCCCCTAGACATTTCTTTCAATACGTTTATAGCCTCCAGTTTTCTAAGAGACTCGGGGACTCCAGCAGGTGGCTGGAGCCCAAACCCTCCTGGAGTTATGGAGGGAGCCACTGAAGCTAACTTCAGTGAGAGAAAGACATTTGGAATCTGCAATACCCCCTTCCCGGTTGACCATTCCCTAACTTGTAACCTGACCCTGCCGGAGTCTTAAACTGCCGCAGGCTTTGCTGGAGTGTGGCCAGAGAGCGCAGGATGGGAAAGGGAAGAAGGGGTGGGAAGAAAAAGAGAGATTTTCACGTCCCCCTTGTAAAGGAAATCTTGGCCAAGTCACCATTCTGAAATGACCCTAAAGAATGACTTAAAGTAGACCAGAGGCCAATCTGCCCCTTCCTGCCGAGAGCTTCTCCAACAGGGGCCACACACTGTCTGCTTCAAACAGAGCTAAAGTCTGCCGTCCTTGTTGGTCAAAGGAGCATGTGTGACCTTAAATGGGCTCTGCCAACGTGGCCGGCAGCTCGGGAACCAGGTATTCGGGCACTGTGTTGTCAATGCCTGCCCTCTGAGTTTACATGTTGAATTGCTTCCAAGGGTGAAGAGCCTGCTCTGTGAATGCTCTGAGACCCCGAAGGCCAACCTCATGCTGGGTCTATGTATGTTCTTCTGAAGCACTGATGATCATAATTGAAGACACATTCAGAGGGTTTTGATTGGTTGAAATTAATTGGTTTGGTGGTTGGTATATGTGTATTTTTTGATGTCTTTGTATGTAGTTCTGCATAACGCAAACTCTCTGATGGACAAGACCTCATAACTGTGATTAATATCAATAAAGGGGATATTGTTGTGGATGAGCTGTGTCCAATCCTTCTCCAAGTTGCTTCTTTCCAGGGTTGATAATGTAAGAGCTTACTAAAGTTAGTCCTAACATCTCCCCTACCTGACGTCAGCAGAAGCAAAGGAAAGAGCTCTGATGAGATGGGCCAGTTAGATTCATGGTTACAAGCCACAAATCCAACTCCAGCTAATTTAGATGGGTATTTAATGGAAGGCTGTTGGGAGCTCTCAAGATCTATAGGAGAAACCATCTCGAAAATGGGTTGGATCCAAGAAGTCTAGAGGTCTGGGACCACGACCCAATCACATCTCAAAAACAGCTTGGTTTGGGTGCTATGACCCCTGGATACTGAAAACTGCTACTCAAACTGCTCCTCCGTGGTTCTACCACCACCGCCATGGGAATGAACCAGTCTGAACTGACCCTGATCCTTTGCGCCCCGGTTTCCACATTCAAAGTTCTGGGCAGTAACATCTAAGCTGACAGAATTTATATCCTGTGTCCATGAACTAGCTGGTCCTGCCTCCCTACCAAGACTCACAAATGGCTTTTCAGTTTTTGGAATGAGTTCAGATAGTGGAGACCCAAAAGAAGAAAAAAATATGTTTATTACGTTTATTACAGCCTCACTCTCTTGCTGTTCCACATCTCCATACACTCAAACTTCTCTGTTCACCCTTAAACAAAACCTCTGCTAGATAATGGAGCTCTCCATCATGCAATGAAACTTCATACTTTCCCTTTCCAAAGGGAGTTACCCTAAGGACCGGCTGCCCCAGTATGGAGCATTCTTTCTTGGATTCAAAAATTCTAAACTGGTGGGGTCCAAAGGTGAAGAGAGTGTGTTATTAGGTAAAATGGAGCAGGCATCATCCCCACACCCCTGTCTTCCAGACCTGATTCGTCTGGCTTTGGGGAGAAACCGCCCCACATATCGATCATTGGTTCTGAACCAGTGTCTTTTTTTTTTTTTTTTTTGAACCAGTGTCTTAAAGGACACTTGTCCTTAAAGGACCACTTGTCTTAAAGGACAGTACCTCAACTTCATTAGGTACTGTCTCAGAGCTAGTCCTGAAACCAGATCTTCAATAATTCAAGTCACCATTCAAAACACATTACTGCTCCTGAGTGATAGGCTCAAATCACCAGGATATCTACCCAATGCCTTCCCTCTTTGACTATAAGTGAATTATTTGGTCAGAAGTAGTGTCACATAGAATGCCATAGTGATTGGATAGACAGGGGAGCTACTCCAAACCCACATATACGAGCCTGTTTCAGGGGGGTGATATCTCTGCCTTTTCCATAATGGAAGAGGTCCAAAGTAATCAATCTTGAACTAAGTAGTCTATGGGTGTCCCTGGAGTATCGGCAGTACCCAGGGTCACGGCCCAGTCCCATATAAACCATTTCCAATTGGTAATGGAACTTTGTGAGTGTGTTAGATGACCCATACATAACGGACGGTCTGGCTCACACATGGCATGCAATACCTTAGGGAAAATCACCTGGTGTTCTATGTTCCTATGCTTCTCACACTAGCACAATAAACCCAGAATCTCTCTAGCAATGAGACGTCAATGAATTCAGACTAGAATTATGTTCTTCCCTCCATGGTTGAGTATCCTAAAAAATCTATTCCTGCACATCTTTCCCCCAAATTTGTCAATAAAATTAGGAAACTCCTGAAATAGTGTTGGCTTCAAATCCTTATCCTCCCCGGGTTGAGTTTGCCACTGCCCTTCCTTTGGGGGCATGCTGGGATATAACTTATCATTTCTGGAGACGATACAGGGTGGTGGGCGAGGAGAACTGGCTTTCCCTTGCAAGGTGACTCCTTCAGGCAAAGCAAAAACACAGTGAAGTGTTTCAGAAGACTGAAGGAAGGGGGTTGTTTCAGCTGACAAAGGAAGCTCTTTGAGGATTTAGAATTGAGAAAATTCCAAGGTTTTTGAATCCTCCCATATATCTCTGTTTTCCTTTTCTGGGTCCTACTGCTTCCTGACCATTGCTTTCTATGAAAAGGGTATAACTTCACCAGCACGGACATTCAGCCAATCCTGGGGATTGGATTTTGCATTTGCTTTTTCTACTTTTCTCAGCCTTATGGATACAAGAGGTAAAAGGATATTTAAGAACTGTCATAAGATAACTCTAGGTTTAAAAATTTTTTTAATATTTATTTTTGAGACAGAGACAGAGCATGGACGGGGGAGGGTCAGAGAGAGAGGGGAACACAGAATCCAAAGCAGGCTCCAGGCTCTGAGCTGTCAGCACAGAGCCTGACACGGGGCCCGAACTCACAGACGGTGCGATCATGACCTGAACCGAAGTCGGACGCTCAACTGACTGAGCCACCCAGGTGCATCGATATCTCTAGGTTTTAATCTTTTCCTTGAGCTGGTATTTCAGTACTGGAGTTTGCTGGTGTGTTTTCAAGCTGCTAGCCCTGCCTGATGGGACTGACTCTGTCTTCATATCCTTGACCGTTTGGTGGCAGAAACTTGTTTCCTCAAGGCTTTGCCTTCGATGGACCCTTCATTCCAGAGGACTGTAATGAGAAATTGAGAGATGGGGGTAAGTATCAGCATCTGGCTCTTCTCTGGGGACCTAACAAAGACATTCTCACCCCACTGTTCTAAAAAAGTTTTTTTTTTTCAATGTTTACTTATTTTTGAGAGAGAGAGAGAGA